CTGAACCTATTAATTTCCCACCACGTCCAAAACTCCTTTATTTTATGAGTTTAAAATTAACTAAAGTTTTCTGCACTCCAGCACATAAATGCTCCATTTCTATCCTGGCACAGACAGGCATCCAGGGAAGATTAAGACATCTATTTATATATGCAAGTCTGATTAAGATGGTACAAACTCCCAAGTGCCGATCAGACAAAGTCATTACAGAGACTAATCTGGTCACGTGTCACAAGAGGAAAGCTCTGCAGAGACGCAAAGGCTCCAACAGTATCGGGGCGGGGGGGGAGGGGGGAACATGATGATAAATTTTCACATTCATTTCCCCCAAAAAAGTATGGTTACACTGCTGTACACCCAATGGGAAGGTGATGGACAGATCTGCATGAATCTGTTGTAGGATGATGATGACTTGGAACTGCTCTGGGCTGTAGTTTTGGTGAGGGGGAAAGGCACAACTATGCAGGGTCCTGGAGTAAGTCAACGAAGTCAAGAAACAACAGGGTTTGTAATGGGAGCTACGAAAGGCAGTCTGCAGGACAGAGCAGTAAGCATCCCAGCAGGAGTCCCTCCCAGCTGGTGGGTCTGTCACACTGGAGAATCAAGTTATTTGGTCACATGCCAGTCCTGAAAAATCTCACGTCCTAGCTCTGCAGCACCATCAGGCCTCCCAGCTCCCCAGGAGCACAGTCTCCTCCTGCTCCAGCGGGGTGAAACTACAACAAGAAGCAAAGTGGCCTTCCCAGGATTGACTTGAGTGACCTCATTAACTAAACAGCTCTACTAAACAGTGATTTGCCCAGGTCTCAGGCAGATCAGGATTAGAGCTCTGAGCATGTGACAGCCATCCCTGCACTTTGAATACAAAGTATAGTATATAGCATCAAAGGACCTGCTATTGTGTGAAGTGTTGCACAGGTCAGGGATTTCTTCTAACACGATATCCACTGCACCAGACCTGGAAGGGGTAATGGTAATGCTCAAGTATTTGTCACCCTCAATCTTATCACCCAGCCTCTTGCCCGGTCCCTTCCTAGTGAAGAGCAACAGTAAGTCTCCTTTGCCCCAGCCAAGAAGGTTGCCTTCCACAGTGTATCACTCCATCGGCTTGCACCCACCTGAAATACTGTCCTGTCACAGACTCTAGCTCCTCTGCTACTGCACAGTAGATGCTGGTCTGAGCTCCTTCCCAAGGAGTCTTCAAGAAGAATGAGAACATCTTCCACAGCCACGTCATTACAAATGAGTGCCGGACCAGCTCAGATTGGACAGAACCAGGATGGAGAGCATTTGCTGTAACTTTAGTGCCTATGGCAAAAGAAAGTAGTCCAGGAAAAATCTACATACATCAAACTGCTTTCAAATAAAAAGGGTAATATACTCCTCAATTCTACCTGCAGATATTCTACAACTTAAAGGAGGAGTCCAGGCATGGACACAGGGAGAGTAAGTGAAATCCTCCATAGTTACTGCTTGCTGGAGCACCCCCCGCTCCCTTCCAAACACTGCAGTCACTACACGCCTTCTGCAAAACAATGTGCTAGAGGGCCTGGGTGCTAAAACAGCAGCGGTTTCCATCACGCTTTTGAGAACACCAGCTTCTTTTGATTTGCTGTAATGCTAATTTCCTAGAGAAGACACTGCTTCTGTCTTAGTAAAATAAATATTACTTAAGTTTATGAAAAGGACTGTATGACATGGCTGTGACAGATGTTGTGACTTAAGAGGTACTGTCTAGTCCTATGCTTCTGTTCTACAGGCCATCAACATTTAAGGCAGCCGAATATGCATTAGCTTTTCTACTGGAGACTGCAATTGTAGTTCAGCTCCTTCTGATTTTTCAGCTTCCACGCACATACCACAATTGTCTGCGTGGATGCCGCTACTTTTTGACTAGTGCCAAAGAAAAATGAAACATGTTCAACTGTGCCAAGCTACTAAACTCCTCTGCCCTGTTGTTGTAAAGACAATTAGTGTTTTAAGTCTCCTGGTTCCACAGCCAGGAGGTATTTACTTCCTGCAAAGAGCTGTCAGTGACCTTAGCTTCAAACCATTTCATTTCTGCACAGCCAATTTCCAGGCCTTTCTTCAATCCATTCTCCTCATCCGTGGTGCTCAAAAGCCAAGCAGAAAACCACCCCGCCCTCCTCTGGGACTTGCCTTGCAGCCGCCTTGCCAGCTCCCGGGTGAAGAGCACGTTAGCCAATTTGCTGTGACAGTAGGCGAGGCCGCCATTGTAGCACTTCTCACCGTGGAGATCATGGAAGCGGATTCGGCCTCCATGATGAGCCAGTGAGGACACGTTCACTATACGGGCTGGGGCAGACTGCTTCAGACGCTCCAGCAACAGAAAGGTCAAGAGAAAATGACCTAGGGGTGAGAGGAGATGTCATCCTTCTCTGGAGGGTTCACCTGCTGGGATTTCAGAGTACTTACAACATACTATTACACGTTACATCTTACCGCTACCCTCATTTCAAACCCAGGGAAAAGAAGACCCCCCCCCGAATCAACAGCTAAACTTTTTGGGGGCCATTAAGTTCTGCTCCTCAGCTTCAAAAAGTTGGAGCTGTCATACATTTCAAATCTCCCAGGTAACAGGTATAGACACTTAAAATGGGTCCATGATAAGCAAATACATTGCATTGCATCTCCGGAACTCTAACTCTGGAGTTCCCATCCATCCTTCCGGAAGAAGGAACAATGAGGAAGAGAAAGTCCAAAAGCAGGACTTTCCTCTGGCATTTTGCCACAGAAATTGAATGCAAACATGACTCTACTGGCCTTACCAAGATGATTGACTCCCAAGTGCATCTCAAAGCCATCAGCAGTCTTGGAGTAAGGGCAAAACATTACCCCAGCGTTATTAATGAGAACATGGAGTTCCTTCTCCTCTGCAAGAAACAACAGACATCCTTAAACAGGGAAACAGAGACCAAAAACAGACATGAAGGTGGTACAAGTCAGCCAAAAAAAACCACGCCTGTCTGAGTTGCAGCCGCATCGCCTCAATAAAATAAGGATAAGTCTCCTACCACAAACTGGCTGATGGCCTCTGGCAAGCCCCTGCTGTGAACCACAGTACCCGACATGGTACAGAGATATGTGGGTCAGGGATGTGGTGTTTGCTAGAAGAGCAGAGGGCAGTCCTTGGTAAAATATTCTCATTGAAAAGAAGGATCTAGAGATTGTACCTGCTAGAAATTTCTCAGCAAACTCCCGGATGGACTTCGTATCAGCTAAGTCCAGTTTTTTCACAATGACCTCCTGGTTCCCTGTCTCAGCTCGGATTTCACTGGCTGCAGCTTCTGCCTTCGCTATGTCTCTGCAAGCGAGAATCACCCTCGCACCTGCAAGGGGGGAAAAAAGCAGGAACAGATGCTGAGATCACTGGAGCACACTGGATGACCAAGGCTATGACAAGCAGGCTGACTACACACAGTGCTTACAAACAATGTAGTGTTTCTTTAGGGAACTGGCATCAGTCAGGAGAGCAGCTGGGAGGGACAAAGCCTTTCCTACCACAATGAGGAGGTGCATATCCTCCTTTCCTACTATGGTGCTGTCTGAAAACAAAGCTGTTTTCAGACCAGGAGCGTGCACATCAGCAGTGCCCCTGTCCAGGTTCTCCCAGGTCAGGAGTGTGTACCACAACACCGGTACGACAGGGTTACATCTACCCCGGTAACGGGAATGTTAAGCCAGCAGCACATGAGGACACCTGGATTCCAGCCACAGGAATTTCTAAACGGATTGTGAATAGGTCTCTTTACCAACTACCCAAAAAGCATGCAAACCAAATTAGCTTGAAAGATGAGTAACTACAGCACACAGCAGTGGACCGACGGCATTTCCCAGCTTCATACAAGCAGAACCCAGCGACACCAGGAGCTTCCCCAGCCCTCTCCGAGCGGCTGCAGCGCGGAGCACCCCCACGTCACACAGCACGTTATCAGAGTTCAAGCAACGAAACCAGCTGAGGAACGGGGGCCTTGCACCTCAGCCTCTGGAGGAGCAACACCGGGGCCCGTCTGAACTCTGGAACGCAAGCCACGCGTAAAGGCGAGCCAACCTCCCTCCGCCCGCCGCGGCGGGG